TTTTTTGTTTGGAACACCATTTTGCATGTTGAGCAACGTTGAGCACTTTTTCGCACTTTGGGCAACATTTGAGCAATATTTCACATTTCGAGCGAATTTTGAGCAACAAAAAGTCAGCGATTATAGAATTCGATTCGTACCTCGATTAACTAAACATACAGTTCGGAGTAAGGTTTAAAAATTGACGGGTATTACTATTATTTTATATATAATTTAGGTATAACTCCAAAAGAAAAGCCGTACAGCTGCATATGACATTACAGTTGAAAAATTAGAACGCTGACTTTTTCGAGTTCTCTTTTTTTTGTCGTAAACAACTCCATATACGGAAGTTTGTTCCATATATGGAGAAAGACGTGGAAACAGATTTAAAAAAATGCTGATTTTAAAAAATTTACGAAAATCTTAGAGGTAACTGTTCACAATTTTAGCACTTTTTTAGCACTATTTTGAGATTTTGAGCACTTTTTGAGCACTTTTTAGCCATTTTTGCCAGCACTTTTTTAGGATTTTACCAGCGCAATCGGGAAAGGCCTATTGATATATTACATTGGGGACAGCTTTATACTTATTATAGTTATCATGTTTAAATTGTCAGTCTGTTTAACACTGTACATATCGGAAAGCCACAGTCATTGGATGTACTGATACTGACTGTATTAGGTACAGCTTTATACTTATAGTTATTCTGTTGAACACTATACACACCTGACAGCTACGGTTATTGTACTTTTATATAGATTTGCTTTGATAGTGTGTAGTTTTATAATAATCTATTCAGATTGTTTTTTCAAGACTGTTGATATTGGTTAGGGACCGGTCATTATTTATGGAAGGGGGAGGGGAATTTTTTCTTTTCTAAATTTTTAAAATTGAAAGCCCCCCCCCTAAATGGCAGAAATTTAATGATGCCCCCCCCTGCATATTAGAATATTTTTCTTTGACCCCCCCCCCATTTTCATTTTTACTTGTCAAATGGGGATACCCAGGCGTTATAGTATTAATTATTAAATAAGAATATGGAACTGGCAAGATATTAACGTCGACCAAAAATATATATTTATTAGCAGAAAATTGTAATTAAAAGAGGAGTATTTTTATATATAACACTAAAATCAGGTTTCCATTTGGTCTGGGCGATCGTAACCATGTTTAAGGCTGCAACTAGACTTGATGGTACGAAGTATTGCCATAGCAGCTGCGCGGCAACAATGAGAGCAACAATGAGTAAAATTAGCAGCAAAAGGAGATAGCAATGACAATTCTGCCAAGGCATACCTGCGAAATACAGTGTATAGTGGTCTATACATCCTATTTTATGTGAGATTAAAAATTATATAAAAATGACATATACTAGCTACCAGATAAAATCTTTTAGAATGAACATGGGTGGGTGGGTCGGGAAAAGGTATCGAAGCGCAAAACTTGCTGCAGCTAGGCAAAGCATACAATGGTAGAATGAATACCCAGACCGAAGCACTGATCACAAGGCATGAAACAACCCCCTTTGATCGATATGACGTCACAGACTTCCCCGCAGCGGATGTGGCCTGCATAATACAAACGCCGTTAACTGCTTAATTTAAATGTATTTAACCACATCAAGAGCTGATGTAATAATACATTGTCAATTTAACTAGTCTGCAATCCGTAAAGACTGATTTGCATACAGCACACACAAGACAAGATGAATCCAGACTATTTCACATCAGTGACCATGATTTAGTTGCAACATTTACAACCAAATGGATACCAGGTTATTAAGCAAATTCCTTCAAGTTTAATTGCAACACCCCCTGTCATTTTCTTGAAAAAATTTAATAGCCCCCCTTCTAGTCATTTCTACATATGCCCCCCTTATTTTTTTCCTCCCCTCCCCCCTTCCATAATTAATGACCGGTCCCTTATTGTTAAAATCGAGGATGTCGTTAAAATTAAACTTTAAAGCTGTAAGATCTTCGGGAACATTTTATATTATGTTGTGTTTTACCAAATAATGTCCTTGCCCTTGCACGGTTCCCATTTGTAAAAAACTGCTGTAAATCATATCCCCCTTTAATTAATTTGATCTCATCCGTGAGTCGGCCTCGAAGGCCTTTGATCTCTACTAGCAGGATATTAGCTAATATCCTGCTAGTAGAGAACCAATCAGAGTGCAGAATACCTCATATCCAAAACAAAGACTGCATGATACGATAAAGATGTGCCACTCGACGTATTTCCCTAATGTTTGCGTGTCCGTAATTTTCCGTGCTGATCACGAGTGGTCACCACTGAGCTATAATATACCACTTACTGCCAAAATGGCACCGAGACTGATATGACGAATATCAGTCTCTATATGACGCTATATGACGAATTTGACACTTACTGGCAAAATGGCGGCTATAAAAAAAATCTCGGACATAATTTTCGCAGAGTGGCACATCTTTTATATCGTATCTAATCTTTGTCCAAAGCGTGATATCGAGAATTATCTTCCGAAGCCGAAGGCTGACCGAGGCCTTGATAATTCTCGATATCACGCAAAAATCGAGCCCAATAATTATTTTTTTACGCATAAGAATGACTATTAAAGAAAAATACTATAACTAATCAAAGCACAACCTCGTACCCAGGATCTTTCTAGAGACCCTGGGAACGAGGTCACATATGATAGATAATACCAGATGTCTCACTCAGCCAAAATTGTGTCCGCGAATTTTTATGAGCACGCGTTGACCTCCATTTTGGCAGTAGTGTAATCCACGCCATGAAACGTGAGCAATCACCACTGAGCTATACTATATTACTGGAGGACCTGCTCGGGATAAAAAAGTGTCCGCAAAAACATGGCGGATCTTACGCCATTTCCATGACAACACTTACTTTATTTTCATGGTAATTGCCACTGACCAACCGCGATCCTAAGCTTTCGAAGATATTCTTAACCCCCCTGGTTTTTGCACAGATATATTTAAAATAATAGTAAATATAAAGATATTTCAAGTTTTCTGTTGTTTTTGAGCAAAAATCTTAATATTTCCATCGCACATTACTTGTTTTACAACGCCAGTTTGCTTCGCTTGTGGATGCAGCACTTTACTACAAAGAAACTAAAAAGAAAGACTAATTCTTTCAGGTAAGATTCACGAAACTTTTTTATATTAAACTTTCTAGACGACTAGCTAGTCACAGAGTGAGACTCTGAGTCGGTCACTAGACCCTTCATATATTATGTCAAAAACTCATCATCCTATTAATATCTACAGCAAATATTTCAATAGGGACATAAAAATATTGTTAATGATTAAATATTGCATGTGTACTACATGAAATTATGTTGTTTTCAGTGTCAGCACTGGCCTTTGTGGTTTTATTGCCAGACAGAGACTGCCAGTTTTTAATTACTTGTATAAATTGTGGTTGTTTACATGTTCATAAAGGTTTAATATGGTGTGAAATTTATATACTTGCCCATCATAATGCAGAATTAATATATATAGATAGCACAAGAGTCCAGAGAGACTTGAGTAGAGGAGGCCCACTTACATTTGATAATGTGCCCTATCCTGATGAGCAGTGCCTTTTTTAACTATATATCTGGGGGGGCAATTGCTCCCCTAGGGAAAGAATCCCCCCCCCAGTAAAGCCATTTCTGCCCCCGAAGTGCGAAGCAGAATTGCTCATGATTGCTGTCAGAATTGCAGTTGATTTACTTGATAATGAGATTATGCCCTTCCATAGCCTCATCCACAGCCATCTTGTGTGTAGTTCATATTATTCTTCACCGAGTATTTCATAATAGCGATAGATTTCATGCAAACAATCCGATAAAATGCTAGCCTTTCCAAGCCTTGCGACTATTTCCTAGCACTCTCCTCCGCAGAGGCATGCGTTTTGGCATGCGTTTAGCAATAAAGGCGAAGAGACGACTTGCGCTTACGTTATATTACCTTGCATCCACAGCGGAATATAAAACAATAGCAACCTTATTCGGAGTTTCCCGATCGTTTGTGTGTGTTTGCATTAGGGAAGTATGCTGTGCCATTACCAAACGACTGTCAAAGGTCATTACATTTCCACGCGGACAAGATTTACGGCAAATTATTGATGGGTACGAACAAAAGTGGGGGTTTCCGATGTGCGCGGGGGCGATTGACGGCACTCACATCCCAATAATCGCACCTACTGAGAGCCATGTAGAATACGTCAATAGGAAAGGCTTCCATAGTATAGTGATGCAAGCTTGTGTTGATTGTAACTACTTGTTTCGCGATGTTGTGGTTGGTTGGCCTGGAAGCGTTCATGACGCACGGGTTCTTTCCAATTCTGCAATTTACAAGCAAGGAAACGAAGGCAAACTGTTCCCCACAGACCTCACAAAAGAAATAAACGGAGAAGAAATACCCCCAGTCATAATAGGAGATCCCGCGTATCCATTGTTGCCTTGGCTCTTGAAAGGGTTTCCTATGAAAGGTGTTTTAACTAGAAAACAAAGAGTATTTAACTATCGCTTAAGCCGTTCCCGAATGACGGTTGAGAACACATTTGGCAAGTGGAAAGGCCGCTTTATTAGATTTATCAAGCGTGTTGATATGGAGGTAAAAAACTTGGTTATTATTGTCTTAGCGTCGTGCATTTTACATAACATTTGTAAAGTGCAAAATAACAACTTTCTGCCACAGTGGGAAGAAAATGTTAACCTGCAAGAACTTGCAGTGCCAACCGATGACGTAGTAGAAGAAGATGGAGAAGACATTCGAGAAATATTAGCTGAGTTTTTTATGTCAGGATAAAAGATTCCAAACCTTTTATATCGCGATCAAAACATGATTAGTAAAGTTACACTGTAAAATGCATCATACCATTCATGTTGTTGTAAATTCATGTTATATTTAAGTTTAACAATGTTTAAATGAAACATGCACTTCCACAGTTATATGAGGTTGGGTTGCAGGGGACATAGGCGTACGGGCAGGAAAAAGTTAGGGGGGCGGAATGAAATTTACCCGACTTTTCCGCATTTTGCCCGACTTACTGCTACAAATTTTCGTCGAACTTCCCCCCCCCCCCCGTACTCCTATGGCAGGGGAGGGCAGTTGTTCCTCTTAATCTTCAAGTTTGGGCAAATAAATGAAAAGTAATGTTGTTGAAAAACGTAAGATCCAAGAGTAATCACATGCCAGCCTTCCCCTGACGTATGGTGTACACATGCACTTATGACTTATGAGACTTTTGGTATAAACAATTAATATCAATACATTATGTATTGTTCAACATACTTTAGTTAAATACAATTTCTAACCCTTTTAACCCAACAGACATATTGTAAATGTCTGTAATATAAATTGCATTACATTTCCAATACTGCAGGTAAAGTTGTAATGACTTTAGGAACATAACTCAAAAGCATCAAGTCATTATTAGTATAAAGTAAATCTATACTTTCAAAAACAAGAAAGAATCTTTTATAACTTGAAATATGTTTTTTCTTCATCATCATTGTGATTAATGTAGCTGCAGCCTGGAGTTTCACTACTGTTACAGCCATTTCCAAAGACCTGTTGTTGAACTGTAGCATATGGTTGGGCATACATTATAGATGTACTACCTATTGGCTGAGTGTTTTGAGTGGTTTGGTTTTCCAACAACAAACGAAACTAAACATCTTCAACTCATGCTCTCTTTCCTGTTTTCTTCTTTCATTCTCAAGATGCATTTGCTCCATTTGAAATTTGTGCTCTTTTTCTAATTGAAACTCTTCAAGCTTTTTATATCTACAGTACAAGATAAATTTTTAATGTCTCATTACTCATTCATGTTTGTAAAAGATTTGTAGTTAAAACTGAAGATACATCTGTAGGGTAGATTCAGTATCACGTACCTCTCTGAATCAGTGAAACATTGAAGCATTATCCTATGTCAATTATGCCTAGCAATATCTAGTAAATATGCATAACATTTAGTATATCTAAAAGGTGAATATACCTTTCAAAATCATCCTTTGTCACTGACTTGAATTGTTCCAGTGCAGCATCAATGTTTTTTTCTACAGCACTCTTTCTTTTTTTCCTTTGTATCTTTCCTATGTCAGGCTGTGGGCAACCTGCAGACTGTTTCTTGCCATCAGCTTTTTGCTTAGCATCACCTTTTTTGGTCAGATTCAGCCTTTTGTTCAGCTTCAGGCAGTTTCTTAGTTTGAGAGTGTTGCTTGGCTTCAGGCTGCTGGCTAGTTTTAGACTGTTGGTTCACTTCTCTCTCAACTAAAAAAAGTTGCAAGTGGCCAAAGATAACAATTATGCTTTAAATCAATTTTGTAAATAAATATTTCTTAGCAAGAGCACAAATTTTGTTATTTTGTAACCCCTGTCAAAGGTAATGTCACAAAATGCAATGGACTTAATGCTATGATGGTAATTAAATGACAGAAATTATTCCTTACTACTAGTATTGTCAACGTCACTTGAAATGTCACAGTTTGGACAGGAAAATGTTTCTTCTTCACAATAGACCATCAAAGAGCCACCTTCTGTGGTATGGACTCCATCAGAGTAAATGATTTTTTCAAAAGCACATGTCTGACATTTTCTGACAGAATGTTCACCTTCACCATACTTACTGACAAGACCTTCAGGAGTATATAAAAAAAACTTTTTAAGGACAAGATTATGGTGTCATTTCACAGGATATTTTTATACATTACAGAATTTAAAATGTGTAATTGCAATGTTCTAGTAAAAATATAGTCATAATATGAAAATATTACTAGAAATACATGCATGCAATAACCCCTCGCCTGTTTTCAAAAGATGTATACTCAGTGCCGTTGCGAGCACTTCGTCTGAGGGGGTGTGTGAGGTTAGATAGGGGGAGGGGGTGGTTACCAAAATGTTTCCAGATGTACAAAAAATTTTCAGGACATATAATAATTTTTCCGAAAATACAGTTGTTTTCCAAATTCTCTTTCTCATGTCCTGAGAATTACCTGAATTCCCCTGAAAATCTTCTGCAAATCTACTTAAATTTACCTAAAAGTGCACTGGAAATCTACCTGAAATTCCTCATGAGCAATTATCAGGGGTGTTGCACCCCCCCTCCCCCAGTGAGTTCCAAGCAAACACTCTCTGATTTATTGTTCCTGTATTTCACCTCCCAAAATATTGTGCATCATACTATAGAGCATTTTGCTGTTGTCATGCTCTAGCATGGTTCAAATTTATGAATTTTTATTATATAAAGTATAGTGTTTTACAGAGTTTTCGAGCACTGACAAAAATGATAATCTCAGATGTGAAATTATTCATGATAATCTCACATGTAAAAATTTATCGCCTTTTCAATTATTGCTTTTCTGTAAACATTATCGCTTTTCATTTAAGACTGTCCTTTATATAATAAACAGAAAAATACATGGGTGGTTGGAAATACCAGATTTATTTTTCGTGTTGAACATGACATCTCACTTGTTCGCTGCGCTCACTTGTTCGCTGCACACTCATGTTCAACACTCGAAATAAATCTGGTATTTTGTGCACCCATGTATTATTCTCTATTTAAACTACAACTTGACTGGTTTAAATTATTATCAAGTTATCAGTGATTGTAAAAGTTGCAGATAGAAGTGTTTTGTTTTATATTATTATCAAGTTATCAGTGATCGCAAAACCTCCAAATCCTTAATTTCAAATGTTAGAATGTTAGGGTTTGTAATCCAAGTGAGAATATATACATTTTAAGACCTAACCAGGAACGACTGCGAAAAATGCAGCACAAGGTCCTTTGGTAGGAATTGAACCTACAGCCCTGCGATTCCGGTGCAGCGCTCTAACCAACTGAGCATGAGCTACAGAGGCCAGCTGTTGAGCTTTAACGTAAGTTCATGTATATTTAGGTAATGGGGTGTGTGGGTTATGATAAGGTGGACTTCAATAATTTGGATTCTTGCACTTCACTTGGTGGATTAATATTAGAATGTTAGGGTTTGTAATCCAAGTGAGAATATATACATTTTAAGACCTAACCAGGAACGACTGCGAAAAATGCAGCACAAGGTCCTCTGGTAGGAATTGAACCTATGGCCCTGCGATTCCGGTGCAGCGCTCTAACCAACTGAGCTACAAAGGCCAGCTGTTGAGCTTTAACCGTAAGTTCATGTATATTTAGGTAATCGGGTGTGCGGGTTGTGATAAGGTGGACTTCAATAATTTGGATTCTTCAGGGGCGGATCTAGGATTGTTCGTACCTCAGTCAAAAATTTTTGGCGGACGGGGCGTTGTCGGCGCTGGGCGTGGTCTCGACTGGGCGTGAAACACGTATTTATATTAAATTTAAATTGATAAACTCAAACGAACATTTGATTCTTATCCATTGTAAGAAAAACTACAAATGCACAAAGATATATTGATCCTATTTCAATACAAAATTTTATGGATATGTTACTACGATATAATACGTTTAAAACTCAGCAGCAATTTAACATGTTTGCCTGTGGATTAAGAATCGTCGTCATATTGGTACTATATGCTTATAAGTGTATCATTGTAAAACTTGTAAAATCATATGGCAGCAAATGCATTAAGGAAATGTACTGTTCTGTTACCAAAAACACAGAACTATACAAATAATTGCCAGTAGCCTCAAATCCAAAAAAAAACAACCAAATATTCATTAACTAAGTCAAACACTAGTACATTAACAAGATATAAAGATGTTAGGTCAAATATTAGTAAACTAGTAACATCAGAATGGCTACTAGTCAATGAGCTTTTCAAGCTAGCTTGTGAAATATTTCACATCATCATGTTACACCAGACCAATGCGGTCGTCTATTAAAACAAGCCATGTCGATAGGCTATGGACAAACAATATTCTATAAGGCCGACATGTTGTGTGATCGATGCATAAATATAAAGAAATCTTAAATAAAACTTCACTATAAACATGAGAAACAACAAATGCTTACATTGTGGACACTGAATATAACATATTTTAGCTTCTTGACGCGAGAATTATGCTAATACAGCATAGCGAATATTAAAATATCATATGTCAAACAATCATTAATTAACAACACCGATAGCTTTGGTACTCCGGTTTAATATAAACTAAAGATACATCACTATAAAACCATAAATTTCTCTACCTTATTGCAGTGCAAGCTTTGTCTTTCTTATCTCGAACATACTTCGGAATGTAGCTCTCTTCGCCAAAATTTCGAGCGAGGCTTCTGCTTGTGTTGTTGATGGCGCTCAGTAGCTAGTCAGCAGAATTCGTCCGTGAAGCATCGATATCCTTCTCAAGTTCCGTATACAAACGTTTTAGAGATTCCAAATAGTTTGCCGCAATCGCAAACTGAACATTGTCGAAAATGTTTCCAGATATCGCTGGTAGAGATCGCTCGTAAAAATAGTAAAATTTCGCACATGCCAGACGTTCGAAATAGTAAACACTCATGAACACCAAAAGCCGTGTTGACGAATACAACACGCTGCGAATCCGTCGAAAATATAAGCCAATGACAGTGCAGAATTTTTTTAAATGGTTCAATCAGAAGGCTCATACAGAGCCCCTGAATCTGCAAATCCGCCAGGCCTCCCCACAGATCCGTCGCAAATGGCCGTAACCATGGAAATGAGCGTGTCAGCCAATCAGATAGCCGGATTCAACCCCCGAATCCGTCAACATTCATGCGTAAGACCGCTGTTCGTGACTGAATAATATTACTTTGCCGAAGCTCTGCCGCAGCATGAAACGTATAACTGGACTACGATTTAAAATTTTAATAACTCGATCTACTGGCCGCCACAGATAGCTGGAGTCGAATATTTTTTAATTAAGCATGCGAAAGGCTGATTTTTTAGAATAAAATGAATAGTTAAACGGCTTAAACTAAACCAAATTGTCTGAAATTTTGTACAGTAATTAAAAACCGAACAAAATTTCCATCTATTAACTCAAAATATGATTAAAACTTTTAAATTTTGTGCGCGAGCCATTTTTGGTTTGTTGGAAAAGACACCCCCCCCCCTGGTTCACCAAATTTGAGTTTGAGAATTTTTTTCATTATTCTACATTATAAGTACCCAAAGAAGCTATATATATAAGAAAGGGATACAAATAGGTGTTTTGCGAAATTGAGAGCGATTTCAAATCTGTTCAAAATATTATTTACACTGCAAACAAAATAAATTAATAAAAATATGTTTAGTCCATAAAAAGTATCTTTGGTCCATATCATTAATAGTAATCTATAATAGTAATAATCAGTAATCGTACGTGATATATGTTTTAACAAAGAAAAGATAATAATAATAATAATAATAATAATAATAATAATAATAATAATAATAATAATAATAATGGAAACGTTATTTATTGATTATTAAGATATATAATTACAAAGATAAACCTCACTTTACAGGTAGCTCATCAATGTCTACTTGAATTGATACTAGTCCAATATATTTATTATACAATAATTATTTTAAGGCGGATTATATTGACATTAGTTTTCGGTCATCCCACACACCTTGTTTCGTTTACAGAATATATAATATGATGTTCGTATGCACATGTTCACGATTTTCATTTTTATGTATTTACAAAATTTGGCATCACATTTAAGGCCTCTTAGCATGCCATCGAAATTTTCAGAAGATCGGTCAAAAACTCCGAGGGTACTCAGGGATAAATTGACGAACTTGACTTTATTATAATCTGCTTTCTGCTCATTAATTAGATCGCGGTACTTTTGACGGTTTCATTGCACACCTCGCTCAACCAATCGGCAGTAATATCCCGAATCTCATTGTGACGAATAATTGTCATACCACCATGTGGACAGATCATGGCATGATCTGTTGAGAGATTTACTCCGCACAGACAATGTTGCGCAACATTTTTCAACTGCCAATTATATCTTAGGCATAAAGCGTCCCGAAGTTCACTTTTGTTCAAATTAAAACCATGTTCTTTTAATGGAAGAACGGTAAGCCAAGATGAAGCGCCTTTTTCGTTTAACAAATCCATTGTCCGTTGTTTTGTAGCAGGTAAACTTTCTCTAATAATTTTGGCCTTGTTTGCATGATGATTTGCTTTCTGTTGACGTAGCTTCGCTTTAATTTCACACAAATCTGGTTTTCTGTACGAATCCGATTGCTCGATTATCGTTTTCTTCAAAGGCTCAGTGATCTTTCTAGATGCATTAAGTTGCAGACTAACTTCTTCGACTGGATTTATGATATTCAGACCTCCATATCTTGTTGGCAGCGACAGCAACTTTCTTTCTTCAATGGAACAATGACTTCTGCACGTAAGTCCTGGAATAAATTTCTCGGTTATGATATCTTCAATTGGTTGGAAAAACTGTCCAATATTATCCACTGTCCGCATGATAAACTGCCACTTTCCCTTTATAGAATGAATAAAGGCTGCGTATGCTGCATGAGAATATATTTCTGCTATCTTAACCAACGCTTCTATTTCCTCTTTCCACATCTCTACTTTAGCTGCAACATATTCATGAAGAAAACTGGGTGTACCGACTGCTGCGCCGAGAAGCTGTTCAGGGGTGCAAGAGTATTCAGATTTTAACCGTGTCTCAATCTCACGCTATTCTATCAAGTTGCTAACAATTTTAAAAAGTAGCGAATAGCGATTCGCTGTTTGAAAAGTAGTCAACTACTTGGCTACTTAATTTTAGGCAAAATATAGTTCGCTATAACTACAACTACTGTTTTTGAAAAAGTAGTCAAAAACTACTGGCTACTTGAAAATTATAGTTTGCTACAGTAGCGAACTACAACTACTTCGCTACAACCCACCCTTGGAAAGAAGGCCACGTTTATCAGCGGGAGAAATCAAACGGACGCCTTGATGAACCTTCCCTTGCAACATAGGACGACTAAACCCACGCGTAATCTTCTCATATTCAAACGGCATATTCGTTTGAGAAATTAAATGACTTTGAATACATTTCCCTTGATTAACAAGTGCTTTTATATCGCCTTTTAGCCATTGTTTCAACCGTCTTTCTAAATAGTAGACATGATCTTTTGTCTTACTTTTAACAAAAGGCTTTTGTAATGATAACGATTGCATGACCGAGCACGCTTTCAAGGCAATACATTCTAGCGGGCTAGTATCAGCAAAGGCTTGATAAATTCTTGCTAATTCTTGTATAAATGACTTTCCAACTCTGCCCGATGGCACTAGAAAGACATTACGTCTCCAATGAACAATTTCTTCGTATGCATCATTTACCATATCGCAAAAGTCGGTTCCACATGGGAATGGGAATTTCAGGGAATTTCGTTCCACATGAAAATCTGCTCATCCTCGCGCACATAATTAGCTCCCTCGTTCTGTGCCATGTCATTATTTTCACTGATGTGTATGGCTTCATTGATTTTTATAGTGTTTTATAATCTATTGGGAGTTTCCGATCGGTCTAATTGGCTTCTTTCAATGCAAATTTCTGCTGTGTTACATATCTCGTCAACAACAACTGGGTGTAAACG